CACACACACACACACACACAAGCTGCACAACCCCACACACGGACACACACTCACAGCTTGGCTGCTGACAGACAATTGCCTAAGAGATGGTCTTGAGATGTATTCCAAGGTTCCCTTTGCAATTCAGTATGACAGCCTGCAGGGTCCAGCATAATCAATGAACTTCGTTTCTTCTTTTTTTTTCAAATTTGAAGCAGTTGATCTTCCAGCAACCACCATGAAAAACAAATGTTTGCAGTCTTTTGTTCTTTGTGTCCACCAAACTTCCAAATCCATACCTTTATTACGTTTTACATTTCTGCTTACCCTCAGATGACTTAGTGTCTTTTTTTTCCTCTTTTCTTTTCCAGGTCCCTCACAGGGACCCTCCGCCCCCGCACCTTCCCTCTGTAGACTTAGCAGCACATCGCAACGCTGTCTTTTTCTTTTTTACTTAAACAATGGGCTACCAGGGAAGGTCCTAGCCAGAAAAAAAAAAAAAAAAAAAAAGTACGTTATGCAGAAAGATAAAAAAAACTAAACAACTTTGGACTCAGAGTCGCATCGAAATTCTTTACCAAATTCAAATCAAAAACAAAAACAAAAAATAAAAAAACAGCATTTGAACTGTATTTATTATTTCTCTTTTTTTTTTCTTTTTTTTTTGGCCTGCCCGGGCAAGTGGTCCCGGGCCACTCTGGTTATAGCCTATAGCTTAAACATGGATGTCCAAAATTGTTTCCTCTCCCCTCTCCCCTTTCAGGCCTGGCAGAGTGACCATGTCGGTATTAGAAAAGAAAGAAGAAGAAGAAGAAGAAGAAGAAGAAGAAGAAGAAGAAGAAGAAGAAGGTAAGATGGCATTGATTACAATTCTGTATTATCTCCATTCCCAGCCTTTAACCACTCCTACTATGCCCACAAAACTTTGAAATCCCAACCTTACCGAACTTTGAAATCCCAACCTCACCGAACTCTGAAGTCCCAACCTTCCTATACATTCATGTGTTGATCTAACGGTCCACATATCTGCGAACACTACCATCGGCACGGCCGACAATGAGGACTGCACATGGATCGAAGATTTGCACATGGCAGATGTGATCAATTATGCCCACAGATTCCTTAACTTCACCACTTGAGTACTCCATCTCCACTCATATCACAAAGGGCAACAGCAAATGCGATCGTTTACCCTCGATTTCAACACCCTGTGCAGCCGTCCAGATCTTCCACAAAGGGCAACAGCAAATGTGGTCGTTGCCGTCCAGATCCTTCACAAAGGGCAACAGCAAATGCGATGGTGTACCCTCGATTTCAACACCCTGTGCAGCCGTCCAGATCCTTCGCAAAGGGCAACAGCAAATGCGATCGTGTACCCTCGATTTCACCACCCTGTGCAGCCGTCCAGATCCTCATGCTGATGCGGCAATAAGGATTGAACTATCTCCATGTTCCACGTTTACAACGGAAGAAGTGGTCCACATGTATCCTTCGATCCGATTCTCTCCCGGATCGTGTCCCAGATTCTCTCCCAGATCCTCCCACTGATGAGGGAATATGGATCACATTGCCCATGTTCCATGCATACAACCCAAGTGATGGTCTGCATACATTCTGTAAAAACAAGGGCTCGAAGAGGGAGACTTGTGTGAGATTTTCTGGTCGATGTTTCAATTTCCGGTTCTCAGGTAACCATTCTTTAATCTGCCTCGACGTTATTCTCCAGTTCTGATCCTCCTGCTGATGAAGGATTCAATCTTCGTCATTTTATTTTATTTTTAATTTTTTTCTTTTTTTTTTGAAGCCCAGGTTGTTGTAGAGGTTGGATTTGTAGACATATGAGGGGTGCCGTTGGCACTAGGCCATGCGGCATTCCTATGGAACTTCCCTTCCAAGCTACCACTTACGTAGTTCCCTGTCGTTTCCCAGTGCACCTCTACTCCCACCGTCCTACCTTATTCACGACGGACTGTCACCTTACAGTCTATTACAGACGGAGGTGACCTGACCGGACAGTGGTCGTGGATACCGGACTAAGTAGAGCCCTACTTACTCTATTCAGTCCTTATAGTCTATTACAGACGGAGGTGACCTGACCGAGGTGACCTGACAGGACAGTGGTCGTGGATACCGGACTAAGTAGAGCCCTACGTACGAACCTTGCCACACGGGTACTTAGGGCGCTAGGACTAGCCATATCTCTACGGGTCCCATAGGTATGTTATTCCGATTCTTCTTCTTTCAAGTTCTTGGTCAATTTTCCACGTTTACAGCCAAAAGTGCTGATCCCACATACATCCTCCCAGTTAGATCCTCTTCAAGATCCTCTTTCCCATGAGGGAATATAGGTGCCTTGCCCATGTTCCATGCTTCCAACCCAAGTCATGGTCCACATTCATCCTTCCTTCCCCCGTTGAGATCCTCCCGCTGTGGAGGGGAACACGCATCACAGTCGTCCACATGCTCCATGTACTCGGCATCCTCCCAGTGACCAAGTTCCAGCCATCCAGATGCTCTTTTTTTTTTTTTTTTTTTAATTATTTATAAAGCTCTTATAGATAACGATGACCAGATCCGCATTGTTCGTGTTCCATGCTTACCAAGCAAGGTCTTATCCGAACTTGGGTCTGTACTTGAGATTTAACAACTCAAGTCTCGTGAGGTGCAATCCTCCACCCACCTTTCTTTCCTTCCACGGCTTCGTGCAGTGAACAAACGAGTCAAGTGTACCGCAGGTCTGCTACGGACTCGGTTGTTCTTTTGTTTTTCTTCCTGTGATGAATTCAGATTTTGAGTCTCTTCCTGTCCGAGCCTAATTCCGCAGATCCAGCGTCAAAGAAATGAGTGACGGAACGTCTGGAAACCGAGTGCAGCAGGGAGAGGGAGGTTTCATTACCCCACCACCAAATGGGTAGGTTTCAAAAATAGCGCGTCGAGGTAGTTTCACAGCAAAAATATTGCCGGGCCCCAAGTTTCGTTGCAAAAAATTACATCTTTCGTTGGAGCTTTAGAGGTCCCGGTAGTTTCACAGCAAAAATATTTGTGGGCGGGCGGGGGGGCGGGGTCCCACTTTCCTTGCCAAAAATAGATCTCCGAATCTTTCGGAACCGTACAACATTTCCGTTGTGGAACTTCAGAAACACGCTATTTCTGCAATTATATTATTATTATACCCCTTAAACAACCACCAAAGTACCTTTCTCAGCTATCGATGCCGTGCCTAAAACTGCCCTGTGCAGCGCGCCAAAAATCAAACGAACCGGCACGGGCCATGTTTTGGCTGTCGCCGCCAGCCACTTCGGGCCGGTAGTCCCGAGCCTGCTGCCCGCCTCCCCCATGTTAACCAGCGGGCATTTGTTTTCCAAGCAGGGAAAGGTACTGGTGGTCTAACCAAATGTCGGGAAAGATAGCAGCGACCCCACATACCTGAATTCGCAATCCAGTGGTCGTTGGCGAAACATTACTTGCATTCATCCGTTCGTGAGGAGAGAAAAGGTGCATAGTCCCAAAGGACCATGAAAAGGGGTCCACAGTCCCAAAGGACGATGAAAAGGGGTCCACAGTCCCAGAGGACCACAAAAGGCACAGAGTTCCAAGGGATACTTTACATCATACCGTACTCTATGTCTACGACGTAATAGCAGCTGAGGGGCTGACCTCACAGCGTCTATGTTCATGCGATGAACCCATGAACCTGGCAACTTTTATGACCAAGTACATGCCTTCGAAGCACGGACATAGCACCTGCTGTTGGCCCTACTCCCGGGTCTCCTTGTGGCAGGTTCTTTGCTATATTCCAAGCGCAATTGTTTGCAACAGAGACAGGTGGAGACTGTAGGACAGTTTCAAAGCTCCACTTCCCTCCAGACATGGTACAGTTTTTTTCATCATAGTTCCTTGTCCCACCTCTGCCAGTCTGGCCACTTTCTTCCACTGGACACTGTTGTTCTCCTCTTATGAGGCCAGCCTCCACAGCTGATATGCTAACCATCATGCGACAACCCAATTGAATCTGTAAATGGACAAGGACCCCTCTATGGTCATCCTCATGCTTGTCCTTCAGCTGCTTGGAAACCCCTCCCATGTATCGCCGAGCCTGTTCCAGATTTGACCAACCTCGCTGTTGATCACACTAGCCATCACACTATGATGAGATGATGGACTCGTCAGATGACGACTCTCTAAGCGTAAACCGCCAGTACATTACCCAGCCATGTTTCTCCAACAAGGCTATAAGCGCAAGACGAATAAACTTCGGGGGTCGGCAGCCAGAGCGAAAAATGGCTAGCAGCAGCCCCAGCGACAAGAAGTCCTGCGATGGTTTGGGTTTTTTGTGGGTGCACACAGTGCGTTTTGAGGCCCGGCGTGGGAAGGATCACAAGTACTGCTGGGTTAACTGCCGACGTTCGTCTTTCAGCTGCACTCGTCTTGTCCAGCGACCATCATCCTGATATGCGCAAGACGAATAAACTTCGGGTGTCGGCAGCCAGAGCGAAAAATGGCTAGCAGCAGCGCCAGCAACAAGAAGTCCTGCGACGGTTTGTTTTTTTTGTGGGTGCACACAGCGCGTTTTGAGGCCCGGCGTGGGAAGGATCACAAGTACTGCGGGGTTAACTGCCGACTTTCGTCTTTCAGCTGCGCTCGTCTTGTTCAGCGACCATCATCCTGATGCTTCTCTTTCAGCTGCTCGGAAAACCCCCCTCTCACGTATCTCCACACCTGTTTCGGATTGGCCAACACAGTTGCTGATCTGATAGCCATCACATTCTGACATCATGCTGTCTTCGGATATCGACTCTCTCAGCGTAAACCACCAGTACGTCCTCGAGTCGTGCCTGTTAACGCGCCACGATTTTAGGAAACGTACGGGCTACCACAGGAGCGCCCAAATTCATCCGACTAGAAACGTTTCTACTCCTTTTTTTTCCGCGGCCGATAGCTGGGCCAAGTACTGGTGGTTTAACCGTCGATGTTTGCCTTTCAGCTGCTCGTCTTGTCCGGTGACCGTTATCCACACACACACTTCTCTTTCAGCTCGTCGGAAAACCCTCTCCACGCCAGTTTCAGATTTGCCCAACGTCGGTGCCGATCCTGTAGCCATCGCGCTATGACATCATGGCGTCCGTCCTTGGATGACGACTCACTCTCAGCTTAACCGCCGTCGCCTGTCTTTCAGCTGCTCGAAAAAACCTCTCACATCTTGTTCGGTGACCGGTTGGCCTGACTGTCCAAAAGGCATCTGCAACCGAAACAAAATCGTCGACAAAAGAACAAGCCAGCCCGTCTCAGAAAAATCTGAAAAAAAAAACAAAGGCGAAGAGTATATTTATTATTTAGTATTTACAGCTATTCTTCTTTCTCTTTCTCTTTCTCTTTCTCTCTTTGTTTTTTTTTTTACATTCAAAAGTGCGACGGCCTTGACATATCGTCATTGATCTGACCGGCAACAGGTAATTCATGACTAATCATTTGTACCATTCTGTCGGGATGTGAACTCAGGTGTTACATACTTCAATGAGTATGGGCAGAACCAAAATGTCATCGAACAAGATCAAAATGTCGAGGACAATATGTCACCAATGTCGGAGATACAGAGTCCTAATGTAATCGGTGTCAAATCTGTGATGCAGCCGAGTATCATCCCCAACAATCTCCAAGTCTCGAATCCGGTAAGTACCTCAGCCTCTTACCACCGAAGTCCAACTCTGATCTCTGTCCAACTAGTATAAGTCTCCAATCTGAAGAAGAAGAAGAAGAAGAAGAAGAAGAAGAAGAAGAAGAAGAAGAAGAAGAAGAAGAAGAAGAAGAAGAAGAAGAAGAAGAAGATGGAGTCTGAAGAGAAGTCTGATAAACGGACTGACTCACATAGACTGACTCACATAGATATCACTCCACACACATACAATCGTGAGATGGTGGGGTCTGAGCCATACATGGACGATGCTCAGCCCCGTACACACATACACAGATGAAGGTGGGAGGAGAGACAAAGGAGGTGGGAGATGTAGGTAGCACCAAACGTCACCGAGATAGAGACCAGTAGGTCACCGATATGGTAATCCAAAATGTCATCGAACAAGATCAAAATGTCGAGGACAATAAGTCACCAATGTCGGAGATACAGAGTCCT